AAGTTTGATGCAAAAACGCATGATCGCACCGGCTCGCCTGGTGCGTTCCAGCCTGGGTTATTATTCTTCTACAGATTCATTCATAAAGCATGGATGGCGCTCATCGCTGGAGAATTGAGGAAGAAGCAGCAACAGGCGAAAGTAATTCGAATACTTTTGCGGTGAGTGGGATAGCAGTTTGCGAGACAGGGTTAGCAACAACTTGTATCCAATAAGGTTATCTTAGCAATTTCTTTTCAGAAGGGATCAACGAAGCCAGGAGGCGCAATCTTGAGAGGGCACAGAAATTTGCATTGCCCTAAATGCAGCACTGATTTGTTGTTCGTCTGGCAACAAGGCGATGAAAGCAGCAAATTCCATTCAGATGCAAATCAAATTTGTAGTGCTTCCTCACTATTCAATCCGGAAAGTGTGTCCTTTTGTAAGCGGACAGTGCGTTTAAAAGTAGTGTGATGTGAGTTGACTAAGACACTGTAATATGGGATGAGTCCATTTGGCGTTTTCTTTAGTAATAAATTGTAAAGTCTGTCTACTGCTAATAGCATCTGAAGGAGTCTGAAGTGATTTTAGTAGTACAGAAGTGATTGAAAAGTGGAAGAAAATTGTTTTTTAAAAAAATTTATGAATAGGATTCGTCCCATACAGTATTAGTAAAATTCATTGTTGCCAGCGTTAAGTGTTATTAGACTTTCGGATTGTGTTATCATGCTTTCTTTGATGAAATGAAAAGAAATATATTTTTTTCTTTGCACTGCAGATTTTACTTGCGCTAGTAATAGATTGAGAACTGCTTGTACGACAGGAAACCCATTCAGACAACGTTTTCACAGGTAGATATTATGCAAAATACAGATATTCTAACATTTTTTTATTCAGGTATTATACAAAATGCAAATATTACACAGATGCAAGGTGCTGTACATTATGGTGTGCTCCATCTGATCTGTATAACATCTGAATTCTTTATAATATATGAGCGGCACAAAGTTCATAAAAATAGTGTAATTTTATATGAGAACACTGGTCTAGTAAATGAACTGAGAATTTTCTATGTATGCAGCCCAGAGACGAAGTACCTGGCATAGCTGCGTTCGGTGTGTAGAAGCATCCCAGCGGAATTATTAGCAGAGGATGCCCAAGCGGTCTTGGTATACTTGGTGACAGTGGAACTGCTGTTACTGTGAAGTCAATGCACAGTGATCTGAACAGTTACAAGGATCACGCTTTGCCTGAAAATAGCCGACACACTGCTCTGTCATGCCAGGCTGCGCCAAAGGAATATTTCATGCGGGAGGAACATCACTAAACCGGCCTCGAAACACGACTGCAGCAGCCGTTGTTTGATGGTCGAAAATATATGGAAAGTATTATATACTTGGTGCCGTATTATCATTACTGTTCCGGCTGTAGTCTTCATCGCCTTTACCATCACCGTTCTTTGACGGCCTCCACTAACGGTTTATGGGCACCAGCGTAGTGCTACACGCACTGTGTTACGAACTCATCACGTCCCGGTCATCGCTATCGCCATCATCGTTACGACGGTCATCACCACCATTATTTTCCTCATGACCACTGATCATCATCGTCGTTATCACGCAAATGAGAATAGCCGAGTCACTGCTGACTGATAGCGGGAATGGAAAGAAAACTGTACGATTGCAAATAAGACATATTTCAAACTGCTTCTTTCTCCTTCGTCTGCCGGAGTACCATCAACGCGAACTCTCGTAATCTTCGAGCTTCTGGCAATCACACCTCGGATTCGCTCTCTATACCTGACGTTTAGAATGATTCGAAAATTGTTCCATCACACTGATGCGCTGCTTCTTGTGATGCAATTCAATGCGTTGATTGTATAGAGGCTCTAGGAGTAGCCTTAAGGCAGGGATGACCGGAAACGAAAGAGGAAGAAAGGTGAGAGCAAGGAAACAGTGGGAAGGGTGGAATCCAAAACAACCATTGTTAAGATTACACTGCGTAAATTCCCCGGTAAAGGCCAAACCGTTAAACAAAGAAAGAAGATACAGAAGATCCAGGAAAGCAAAGTTTCTGTAAATTTTACGTGAATAAACTCGCGAGCCAGCTGAAATTTTAGGGGGATGTTCCCCGTCCAAGTAATAATGAGCTCAAAACCAGCCCCCGGGTAAGTGTGGTGCCCGCGTATGAGCCCGCCAAAATTTTCCTCGGGTAGGTTGATGACTCGCAGACCAGAAAAGCTAGAAAGTTGAAATTTTAAGAGGACCTCCCTGTTCACGTGAGTGTAAATGAGCTGAAACCCAGCCGCCGGGTAAGCGTGATACGCACGTACGGGCCTGCCAAAATTTTCTTCGGGTAAGCTGATAACTCGAGAACCTGCAGAGCTAGAAGTCTGTAATATTAAGAGGATGTTCCCCGTCCACATTAGTCTCAACGAGCTCAAACCCACCCCTCGGTCATGCATGGTACCTACGCACAGGTTCACCAAAGTTTTCCTCGGGTAAGTTCATAACTAGAGAACCTGAAAAGCTAAAAAACTGTAGTTTTAGGATGATGTTCCCTGTACCCAAATAAGTCTCATTGAGCTCAAACCCAGATATCGGGTATGCGTGGCACCCGCGTGTGGGCCCGTGAAAGTTTTTTTCCAATAAGTTACTAACTCAGGAGTCGGGAAAACTAGAAAGCTGAAATTTTAAGGGGGTGTTTCCTGCCAGTTCCGGCGGCCAGTCTTAATTTGTTTAGCTAGAAGCATTTACCGAAAAAACCGATGCCGATAGCGACAAAAACTGCGGGGAACTATGCAAAAAACGCATTTTCGCACAGGCAGTCCGTGTTCGCCAATTATTTTTTTTTTCAAACAAAATTAGATCACATTATTTTTCGTTCGCTTTTCGACACCGGCGTCAACTTCGAGCGATTGAAAAGCACGACTCAGCTGATGTCAAGACTTCTGGATATGTCAGCAAATGTGACGCGTATCATCCAGGCTTGAATACGGCAGTCGCGGTGGTCAGGCAAGGACACTAGTCAAGACCATCAGTTTAATTAAAAAATGTTAGCTGAGGCAGAGTAAAACCTTAAGCGCACCCGCACGGTATTCTTTTTTGCTTCCAGGATCAATTATCACATTCACTTTATTAATGTATGATTTTTTTGGAGTTATTCCAGTAATATTTTTTTTTTAACTCTCAAGGACCAGTTTGACTGATATGAAGCTATCACCGGCTGTCAGCAAAGCGGGCAACACGTCCCGCGCAGCAGATTTCAGCTCCTATTGTCGGTATCCTTGAGAACGCTCATTTGGTGACGGTTTATTTCTAAACGTTTCTGGGCTTTTTAGGTTTCTTTAGTGCAGTAACATATTCTGTGCGGATTTGGGGGTGTTCTTTTCAGTTTCTGCAACTGATGCTAAAAAAGGATTTACGATTTTGAAAAGTCTTTGACCTTTTACTGGCACAGAATATCAGCCTTCCCGGTGGATTATTAAGTAAATGGCCTGAGGCAAGTTACAGCCAAACCCGCAAGCATACATCAAATCTGCGTTTGGAGTTACACAAACAAATTTGGTGCACACGGAGAACGCCGCTCCTTCTCTTTTGTCTCCTGTTGTTTAACGCCACTTTTTACGTAATTATAGATATGCAAAGCGCCATTCGCTTCAGGACCGCATCGACCGTAGTTGTCACTTCTTGCCCAACTTCCGTCGGTAAACACTTCTCTTTTGGATGTGTCGGATGACAATCGAGTGAGGCACAAGCCCCTACTGGGATCCGTTGGACGCCAGTGCAGTATCCGGGAACCCGGATACTGCGAATCTCTGCGTCTGTGTACTACTGTTGTGTGTATACAGATGTGTGTTTGCGTCTGCGTATGTGTTGCCGTCGTCCTTCTGCAGCAGGGTCTCGTTTGACAATGCATTGCCAGGATTCGAAGCGGCGGAGAGGATGGATGCCGGATGGCAGCGCCGCCCCTGCGGTCTCCAGCAGTAGCAGCAGCAGCAGCAGCAACAGCAGTGGTAACCGAGTGAGTCTTCGTCAACGGGATGTGCTGTGCTGCGTTTGTCTGTCTGTGTGTTGGTTCCGGGTCTCGGATCAGTTCGCTGCTTCGTGCATGAACTTCAGTGCTGGCACAGAAGGGCTGATGTTGCCGCTGCTACTAGATGGCTTCATCGAGCGGCTGCGCTCGGAATGCGGCTGCTCCCAGCCGGAGGAGGAGAGCTGCGAGGATGAGGGTGCCACTTTCTTCCCAGCGAGTATCCTGCAATTGTGAAGCGTCGTCTACTTCGCTTCGAGAACAGATGGTGCCTCCGGCCGTGTCCAGTGGTCATCCGGCAGTGGCCTTCGCCTATAAGTCTTCTCTGTGCAACGCTCCTTCCTTCGCTCCACTTCTCGTCCTTCAGCCTTTGCGTCATCTGTCGCTATGAGAGATACAAAAGGTTCACTGACTGAAACCACCGCGACAACATGGCACGCCGACAGTGACCATCCTGGATGCCGACCTCCGCTCAGCTCTGCTCTGTGCGCGCGCCCCACGTTGTCCTCAGTGCTCCACTTCCATATGGATTAACAAACTACCTTTGTTGTCGTATCATCTTTCCATCGTGTCACTGCGAGGTGCAGTCCTAACAGGAGTTGCGAATCAGGCAGGCCTGATGGTTGAGGACAGAAGCATCATCCACGCCTTCGAACGTTAATATGTCCAGGGCATTATCGCGCCCTTCTTCTACTACAAATTTGTTTTTCAGCTAATCACTTTGAAGGATCTCATTTGTCCACTTCATCCATCATGCCGAAGCCTTGAGGATCCAAAGTTCGGTTTTGAAACTCGCTGCTGGGTTGCTCCTTTCAAGAGGGTCGCCAACTGCCTGGGAAGTTAAGTTCGCCGGATGCTGAAACTGGCTTGTGTACTGCCAGAATCGACGTGCACACTTCAGATTTTTGGTCTTCGCCTTTTCTTCTTTCCACTCTCTTTCCTCGTTCGCCGTGCGATTGGCAGCAAGCCGCTGTTAGCTACTACACATTTATGCCTCGTTCTTCGAGGCTGTGATGTGGATTGGAGATCCCAACTACACACGGATCGTTTTCTTTTAAAAACTACTCAATGAAGGGCTGTTTATGGGTGCGAATTTAAATTTGAATGGGTGCGTTTTGCTGCTCACTTTGTGCGCTCTCTACATCCGCTGTGGCTGTGCAGCTGTGATAGCTCCTTGAAGGAAATTTGTAAAATGCGGTGCCTCGGTAGGACTTAATGCGAGGGTCCTGGATCTTGGACTTCCGGATATGACCACAAGGGGCCTGTGGGCTTCTGTTTATCGCTATAGTGATGCTGCTACTGCTCGCGCATATCTCCCGTACAGCAGATGCTTGATGCATTCCAAGAATCCAGTGCTGGCTGGCATTGCGCATAAATCTACGCCGCCGATCAAGTGATGCTGCGCGTCTGACAGTCGTCAGCGGAATATCTCGTCTGGTGGGACGTGTTGGACAGCTCGCAAACCTTTTGCTGTTGCTAAAACCGGCACTCTGTTTTAGTTTTCCAATGAATATAGCTTCGAAGACGGCTCGCTGTCTTGACATACGAAAGGTTTCTGTCTCTAGCAATCGCATCTGGGACTTGATGTAGTAGTCGGTGACGACGATTATCTAACTTAAAATCTGTGATTCGATTCCAGCGGGGCCGGCCTTTCCTGTTTCAGAGATTCTTTTCCGGGATAATTTGACCCGGGAGCTTGTCAGGAAGCCTAGACTCTTGCTACTAGTTTGCTCTTATGTAATTTTCGGGAGACAGCTGCTACTTTTGCCAATAAGCGATAGTTGTTTGCAGTGCGCTAGCATTTCCGCTCGCTCCCGATGCCTACACCTGTCGCTGGAAGTGGGTTACGGGGCAGTTTTGATTTTGACTTGAATTTGGAATCCGATGACTAGTGGCAAAGAGAAGCGAAAAGAAGAGTGTCAGGACTGATGGGAATTAAGCGCCGAGGAGTTGTTCCTCGGAAGTATTCACTGTGTTTCCTACTCGGCAACCTTGAACCATCTTACTGCAGGAAGAAAATGCGTGCCCTTCGAAATGCGATGTCAGCTGCTAATTGCTTCTTTGCTGTCGTCTTCGCAGCCCCTTCCTTCTAAGAAACCCAGCACACTAACACACCGACGCACAAACTGGTCTCTGTTTCCACAGAGCACAGGCTCTGAGCAAGCCACGTCGCGTTTGTTTGCCTAATGCTTCACGGATGAAAAATTGCTGTTCTCCACAATTCTGCCTCTGTCGGCTCAGTAAATATGCGTCTGCTCTGCCTTTTAGATCGCCCCTCTCCAGAAACCTTTTCGTATAGGCATCGTGCTTGCTGGCCAGTTTCTCAGCAGCTCCACGCAGCGTTTTTCGCTTTGATCGGTTTTTGTCTCTTCCAAACAAAAATACAGTTCTGTATTAATTAGACTCGGTGAAAGAATTTTCCTTACTTGTCCCCCTTCTGTCGCCCACTTAAAAGCTGCCCAGCACATGGCGGTCAGGAATTGTACTTGAATTCAGCAAGGCGCTTTTTGATTTCATTTGTAATTATGCTTCGCAAGAATGCTTAATGTTTCTCAAAAGTATTTCTGTCATTGGTGGTTGAACTCGTATCACCCATCCTGCTTGGCGTCTGCGACTGTTCTGAATGCAAACTCGTACTTGACAAACATAGACGAATCCAACGGAAGGGGATGGGGGAAGGCTTTTTCGCGGCACAGGCACTAGTGCTGCAAAAGCCCGGATCTAAAGCTAAAACTAAAGTAAGCTAAAGCCTAAAATAACTCTATGTAGCAGTGTTACAACTCTCTTTTCAGCTTTTGCATAGTTTCAGGGTGGGAGGGGACTTTTCTCCCATCCCCCGTTGTCCCCCCCCCCCCTCTCCCTCCAGGAGTTCATTCTGGATCCGCCTATGTTTACAAATATGTCGTTGCTGCATGGAATGGTGCTAAACCTGAATAATTTTTACTCGATTTGAAAAGAGCGAGTGAGGAGTGCACGATCATGGATACAGTCTTTGTATCTAGGAACGGGGAGAAACAGTGTGCCGATGATGCGCCAGGAAATAAAGATAAATCGTGCTAGCAGAAGCAAGTTCGTGGTTCCAGTGAGGACTGTAGCTGATGGGAAAGTTGCACATTTTAAATCTTGTCGATATGTGTTTTGCATTTGCACAAATGTGGAAAAATGTGCAGTGGCAGCGTGCCGCTTTTAGCTTCTGATCATAGATGTATTGAGATGTCTCGGAGTACAGCTTTCCGCTAAATTCTATATGGCAGAAGGTACTGAAAGTATTATCGTCACCCACTAATTCTTCCCAGTTCCGCTACTTTCATTAGCACTGCTGCTATCCGGGGGGTGCAGATGTCCCGTCTCAGATCTGCGAAAATGGTGATAATGGTCATTAAAATTTTGATGGCAGCTGTCGTGAAGATGGCAACAGTGCCGACTGTGAGGGTATTGGTGACGGTACTATGAAGACTCTGAACATTTAACTGGGGAGTCAACAAGGGTAGCCCAAATAGGGAGTTCATCGTGATCCACGTTTCCTCCGCTAATTCGCGCTTACCCTTGTTGCTCGCAGCACCAAACTCAGAAACTTCGAAATGTAGAAATTTCGGGAAGATCATTTTTTTCGGAACAAATTTGTTCGTACTGTCAAATGTTTCTGGTCCCTGGCTCAGAAATGAATTAGGCTATTGCCGTAATTACGAAGTTCAGATTCGCACGATTTTGAAATTGCAGCATTTTACTTCACCGAACTGTGCTTAACAACATGTCTGGAACCTGAGTGGTGATTAGAAGTTTGAATTCATTTGCGTATTATAATTCCAAAATATGTTTCATCACTTCAGTATTTTGACCTGACCGATGGAGAGGGGATGAAAAGCGGTGGGCGGGGAAGAGGAGTGTGTCACATAATATATCAAATAATGATTTATGGTTTTTTTGTTAGAAATGACGTAAAGAATAATTGCGTGACTATGGTGCAAAAGCCCGACCCCTGGTTCAAACTTTGGGCACCTTACCCTCGTTAAAGTTTTGCAATCTTAATAACCTCTGGCTCCTAGGGTATAAAAGCACTCTTTCCCATTCCCGGGATCCCACATATAGTTCCAGCCAGTCGAGAAGCTACTCTGTTCTTATCAGTGTTCTGGGGATCTTTGGGTCTCCAGAACCTCACCACCCTTTTTGTATTGCCTTTTATTAATTTACGTTTCGTTGTATTGCTTTAATTAAACCATGTAATTATAAATATGTATATACACACATAACTAGGTATTTACCACACACACACACACACACACACACACACACACACACACACACATATGCACAGGGCACGCCACTAGTCTAGAATATTAACTTTTAGGGATATGATAAGTGGTAGAGGAGAAAGCGGGTAGCCATTTACCTTCGCGAGTGCATTAAATTCTAATTAGAAAAGTGCATGGTCGCGGTGGTCTACTGATATAACATTGACGTGCTACTGTTTTATTGCCACGTTCTTTGCTGTTGATGTAGCTGCCAACTTCACCATTCTTCTGAATTTAATAGGCTTCTACATAATTCCATCCTAGGCGTTCAAGAGGAGTACGTTAGTGGCTTTCCCTTTGTTCTTTTAACTTTGCATGGGTACCATTCAGTTATCCGTTTATCTATTTGCTGCTTCTTGCTTTATGACCGGCCCAACGCTTCTTCCTGGCCCACATTGTCTTAATAATATCCTTACGCCGGTCCAGAGCCTAATATTACAGAGATTTCCAACCGCTCCATCATCTGCTCACGGCCTGTGTGCCGTCCTTTTGTTTTGCAGCTGATTCCACTTTACATCAGACCTCATAGTTGGTTAAGCTCTGGCGAAGGATGTTCTAGAGTTTCTGTTTTTATGAATCTGTTGATTGACCACTGCTAAGTGATCAGTCATCGGATGCATCTGTAAATGCATTGTACTGATGGCTATGTCCAATTCAAGGGCTTGCTGTGTCACAGACTGGTTGACCTGCTGATCATCCTGGCATCTGTTGAAATTCACTTCCTTTTTTTTTCTTTGGAAGTGAGAGAGTAAGGGAAGTATAGAATTCCCCTCGATCAATGTAGATTGAAGAATAATCTCAACCTCTTCTATCAGATGCTCTTAGTGTGTCTTGTTTTCGATGTGTTTTGTACTTTAACAGCGCTGCAAATGTATATTACTGAAATACAGTGTGCGTATGTATGTTCATATCTTTGTCTGGTGCTTCTAATTCAGCAACAATGGGTAAGGTAGGGACGTAAAATTCTAGATTCGTATTCCTTGGCTATGTGCGGCCCTGGAAATTCAAATTCGGCTTCGTGCATGCCTATTTACCGCTTACGATACGTGAAAGTTTCGACGGGAAATTCGTTAACTCGAAGGCCAGAAAGGACTTTCTCTTTTGCGCTGAGGGAGGACAAATTGTATCAGTACTGCAAATTTCTTCGCAACTTTGGCTTTAAATTGATGGACAAACCCACTAGCATTAAAAAAAGCTTATCGAGAGCTTCTTACAACTGCAGCATCGATTCATCCATAGAGAAGCTGCGAGCTTTACTTCATTAAGCTTTTGCGGCGGAGCTGCGTCCATATATGGTGTTTGATGCATGCGAAGCTGCATTGACTTTCTCGGCACTGGTCAGTTCCTGAAGTAGTGGTCATTTTTTTAATGCGTTTTGTGCTGTGTAACAGCAGTACAAAACGCATATTGTCACGGGGTTGTGTGTGTGTGTGTGTGTGTGCGTGTGTGTGTGTGTGTGTGTGTGTGTGCCCCACATTTTGCCCCGCACTTTCAACTCGAGAACTACAAAAGCTGGGCGGCTGGAATTTTAGTACAGTGTTCCCCGCCAACGGATGACGCGGCATATTTAAATTCAGCCTTCCCGTACCCGCGGGTAACACGTACGGCCCCGTAAAATTTTTTCGGGTAAAATCAGTATCTCGGGAACCATGGAAGGTAGAAGGCTGAAATTTTGTGAGCATGT